TTTTCAACACGTGCACGAACCTTATTTTTAGACATTTTTTAATATTTATGCCTGTTTATTGGACGAGTCAGCGACTAGAACGGCAAAGAGGAGACTTGCATGAACACTATGGTTTGCGTCAAAGTTCTAGCAACGTTTTCCGCGGAAAGTTTTCTTTTAGTTCTCTGAATGTTCTTCTTAAAGGCAGCACAACGTTCTACAAAGACGCTCTACAACATATTCCTAAAGCGGTCGAGGACGTCCTTCCTTTTGTTATGTGATGCTGTTTTGTGGAAGAACGTTCTGTTGGTGTTCTCTCAAGAACATCTTCAGAACATTGCAAGCAAAACGTCCCAATCACTCATCTTGAAACTGTTTTTTTTTTTAATGTTGGTTTGAGATTATTCTTTTGTTATCGTACAAGCAAACTAAAATCTTTTGTCTAAAACGTCACTAGAACGTCTGGCTAGTGTTGGCCAGGCCAGTCGTGGGAACACTTCCTGCTTCCCGACAAGTTCTGAGAAGGCAACAAACAATAACAAACGCACGTGAGGACGTGTAAACAAAATAACATTAAGCCAACAAGAGAGCAAATGTTCTAACTGGAGGTTTTACTGAAAGGAAAAGAAAAAAAGATTTCTGGATCGTGAAATGAAAAGAGGGAGACACATTCCTGGAGATGTGTGTGTGTTGTGTGCATCACTGTGTGTTACATAGTGTGTGTCTGTGTGTTGTCTAGTGTGTGTCTGTGTGTTACTTCATGTGTGTGTTACTTTGTGTAGAAGAAAGTCGAGGTGAGATCTGGTCCTAAAAAATGAGCCTTGACCTGCAGGTGATTTACGGGTCCCATGTGGTGACGAGGTGGGAGTCTGGGGCCTGAGTGTGTGTCTGTGTGTGTGTGTTGTGTCTGCATATGTGTGTGTGTGTGTGTGTGTGCATGTAAAAGTGTCTGACACATGTTAACTTGTGTGTGTTTGCCACCACGCATGATGTACAGGCCTCATGTGAGGGTCTGCAGCAAAGCTAACAGCTCTGTGGCCAAACCAGACACACACACACACACTAACACACACTAACACACACACACTAACACACACAATAACACAGACAGACACACACACACTAACACACACTAACACACACAATAACACAGACACACACTAACACACATGTGAGAGAACTCCATGTAAAGCTCCAGCAGCAGGGACTGATTCTGGTCTCAGGGTGTGGCACAGCGACACGGTCTTCATGTGGTTCCTCTGGTCTCGTTTCTAATCACTCTCAGTGTAATTAGCCTCATTTCCGCCTCCACATTCGCTGCTTTCACTTTGTTCTGATCAGTTCTTTCCCTCCATCAGTGTTGGGAAGCGATGGCGGATGGAAACCCCAGAAAGCGGGGAAATCCTGACAAGTCGGTGGTCTCGGGCAGGAAAGAACCAAGAGATTCTGTCCTGACTGAACTCGTTGTGTTTAAGAGTCTCATCTGTTGATCAGCGACAGTGTTTGAGGGGATCTCTGCAGCTCCACTGCTCAGTGACATGTTTGAGATGAGGATGATTCATTTTGCATTTGGTCCGGGACAATTTGCATCCCTTTGTGCTTGTTTTTGCATCTTGTTCTGGATATTTTGCTTCTTGTTGTGGTCACTTTGATCACATTTTGGTCATTTTCCATCTAAGTTTGTACATTTTGCATCTCTTTGTGGTCACTTTGAATCTCTTTAGGATTCTAGTTATGATCATTTGGCATCTTGTTTTGATAATTTTCTATCTGGTTTCGGACAATTAAGGTCTTGCTTTGTTCATTTTACATCTAATTTTGAACATTTTGCATCTTTTTGTGCTTGTTTTGCATCTAGTTTTGATGATTTTGCATCTCTTTGTGGTCATTTTGTTTATGGTTTTTATCATTTTGCATCTGATTTTGGACATCTTGTATCTCTTTGTGCTCATTTTGCATCCCATTTTGGGCATTTTGCATCTGATTTTGGATATTCTACTTCTTGTTTTGGATGTTTTGCATCTCTTTGTGCTCATTTTGCATCTTGTTTTGATAATTTTGCATTTGGTTTGGGACATTTTGTATCCCTCTGTGCTCATTTTGAATCCCTTTGTGCTAATTTTGCATCTTGTTTTGGATGTTTTGCATCGCTTTGTTGAAATTTTGTGTCTCTTTGTGGTCACTTTAAATCTCTTTTTCATTTTTTTATCATTTTGCATCTCTGTGGATATTTTGCATCGGCTAATGGTCATGTGGCATATTGTTTTGATCATTTTGCCTCCGTTTGTGGCCATTTTGAATCCTTTTGTGGTTATTTTGCAACTCTTTGTGGTCATTTTGTCTACGTTTTTTTTTTTGTTTTTATCATTTTGTATCTGCTATTAATCATTTGACATATTGTTTTGATCATTTTGCATCTAGTTTTGTGCAATTTGCCTCATTTTGTGGCTGTTTTGCTTCACTTTGTGCTGATTTTGAATCCCCTTGTGGTCATTTTGCATCACTGTACCTATTTTGCATCTCTTTGTGCTCATTTATCTTTAGGTTTTTGTCATTTTGCATCCCATTTTGATCATTTTCCATCTGGTTTTGGACATTTTGCATCTCATTTTGGAAATCTGCATCTCTTTGTGGTAGTTTTACATCTCTTTTTAGCCCTTTGATTCGCTTTCCAACAAGAAATATTATCGGTGCTTTAAACTTTAAGCCTTCTAACCCTTTGCACCTCTGAGCTGATCCCTGTAGGCCTGTTCAGTAATCTCATTGTGTGCGATTGTGTTTCTGGGTCTTATTTCCTCCTGTGTGGCCGTTCTCTCATCCCTCCTGCATGCTGCCATCAGTGAAAACACATTTTCTTCTTCTCTTCTCCCCCTTTGTTTTCACATTGCCTCCTTTTTTCCTCTGCTTTTTTTTTTTTTTTCATGTAATCATCTTTCTTACCTTTCCATCTCCCTCTTCTCATTTCCAACCCTCTCTGGCTCAGAGATCATCTGTGATCATTAGAAACAGAGCTTTAAATTACTTTGCATGCTCCTCGGGGATTTTACGCAGTTTCACAAGTAAACAAAATCCACAAAAAGCCTCATTTATCGTCTTAAGAGCGAACCCGTTCCTGCGGAGAGTCGTGCCAGCGAAGTGAGTCGTCGTAAATCGTCGGATGAAAGAGATTCTTGAGCCAGACGAGAGGAAGACAGAGCGTGAGTGTGTGAAGGGATTCGCAGCTTTTAATTATCGTCTATTTGTTCTCGGTTAAGTTGTTTTTGACCGGTTTTAGATCAGCGCTCTGTCGACACCTCTGGCTCGACCGGGACGCCATTGGTTGGCTCGTGTTGGAGAGGTCGGAGGTCAAACGTGACTCATGGCCTCCTGGGTGAACAGCTATGTTTTCCCGGTGCGTGCGCATACACACAGCTTCCACGCAGCATTCCTAAAATAGCAGCTCAGACTTCGGAGTGCATAAATTACGCCACTTATAAAGAGCTTCTCCTTTTGAGATTTACAAGCTAAACATGTTCGGGAAAAACAAATCGAAGCTTTTGACCCGGAGCTCCTCAAAAATGCAGACAAAGGAACCGTGGACACGCTCCTGTTTCTGTAGATGTTTGTGAAGGCTGCTGACAGCAAAGACGAAGAGAAACAGAGTTTTTCAAGAACATAAATTCTGCAGGAGGAGATGTCAAACATCCCGGCTTGCAAAAAGCGAAGCGAACGCAGTCCAGTTTAACGTTGCATCACTGTGTTCAGCTTTCTTCTTGTAGCCTTTGCAGATCTCTTGTTGCCCAGTGTGGTGCTAAACTACAAGTCCACATGGTGAAGCTGTGACCGGCAACAACTTCTACGATGTAATTAGAGGATCGAGGACAAAGAAAAGCAATAATTACGTAAAAACATTTCCCTGCTGGACCAACATCTGAGAGCGTCGCAGTGATGTTCTGGGTTTTATAAAATCAGGCTCTGGAGTCGTCACCACGCGCTGAGGTTGTTGTTTTAAGTGAGTGAACTGGAGTTAACGCCGACTTTCATCAGGCTGCTCCCTGGAAATGTTTGGATTCAGTTTGAGAAGCAAAAAGAGGAGGGAAAGAAGTGAAAGATNCCAACAGTAAACTGTTTTGAAAAAAAAATCCCATTTAAAGCTATTTAAAAGTTAACTTTTTACAGTGAACATTTAAATTCCACCGTCTCATACAGACTTTAAAGCAGCAACAATTATCAGACACACACACATATAGTATAAGATAAACTATCACTGGAGACAGAGCTGCATATTTGACTGAACAAAATTATGTTAAAAAAGCAGCTTTTATTTGTCTAGCTGGTGGCGAAAGCAGCCAAAAAGTCCATTTTGCTCACTTTGCTTTTCTGTGCGTTGACACAACTTTCGAGTATGAAGAGAGCAGAGAGGAGACCAGAGCTGTAGGAGGACAGACGGCGTTCACGTCTGCGACAGGAAATAATGTAAAATAATTATGTAGGAGGCGAAAAGACGAGAGGGAGACGAGTCGGCTGTCATTTCTCCGGCTTTCTTTTCTCTCACTGCGTCTCCAGTTTCTGCTTCTTTTTCCATTTTCTCACATTTCTGCTTCTCGTTCACCCTCCATCTTCATCTCGTCTTTTTCTTTTTCCTGCTTTTTCCCGCCCGCTGACTCGCCTGTCGCTCACCTCCGTCCCCGCTGCGTGTTGCTGGGTTCCTGTGTGTTCAGGCCCAGCCGAGATTAAAAGACTCCAAAGTAACCGAATCCCTCCAATCTATTGACATGAACTCCGTCGCACACGGCGCACATCTTTGTTTTCCCAAACATCTGGGCGCTTCACGTGCACACGCTCCGAAAAACAACATCTGACACACACAGCGACCGTCCACTTGATCCCGATTGTGTTAATCAATAAACAGCCGACTGTGGAGCTATGCGAGCCATGTCAGATGCGGATTAAAACCCGGCTGTTTACGTTCGCCGGGACAGAAGAAGAAGGATTCGCTGCCAATGTGTCGATATGTTTTGAAATCAGCCGGCTGTTCTTACTTTGCTGTCCTGTTTCGTCCGATGGAAACATCCAAGCTGCGAAGCTGTCAGGGCCCAGATGCCGTCACTTCATCTTCACACGACGCTGAAACAACAAGAAACAAAAGGTGTGAAGATTGATTCAAAATAGAAAAGAGCATCGTCCACATAGAGGATACACAACAGGGATGTGCTGAAGTCCCTCTCTGCTCGCTAATTAAACCTCTAAGGACTCATCTTAGAAGCTTTTTTTCCATGAAATTTGCAGATATATGAAGTCACCCCCTCTCCCGACTCACTGCAGCCCCAGCACACCAGCTCACCCACAACACTGCAAAACTACTCAACGCTACAGATACAATTTTGAAAAAGGAAACTTGTACAGAAGATGCGAGTTGACAGTATTGGTTCCTGACGATTGTTAAACAAGAAAAGTCTGAATCCGTGTTTTTGCAGGTTTTTTTTGCTTATATTCAATCTTCAGTCATATAAAAAAAACACGTTAAGGACATGTCAGCAAGGTAGAAAACAAGGCATTTGCGTTAAAGCAGCACACAGATCTCCATACTGAACAGTTTTTCAGTTCATAGTTTTAGTTTTCCTTCTTTAGAACCACCACCTGTGAGATTATGGCAGTACCCTTTGGTTTATTATCATGTTGGACGAATCCTCTACTGGAAACTAGGAGTTGTCTTTTAAGTCTTGGCTTATCCACAGACGTTCATCTATAAATGTCATCTCCCCAACTTTCTTCACTGTCAGGACGATGCATCCACTGTGGTCGTCCTGGTCAGGTTCACACCAAACATGTTGGACTCCATCTGAGCCCAACAAGTTTATCTTCATCTGACCAACGACTGGTCTTCTTTTTTGGTTCTTTAGCAAAGTTTACTGAAGCTCACACTGATTTTGTAGTTGCTCTCCCATCTTCCTGGATCATTTTCCATCTTTGTGAAGTCTCACGGTCAGATTTATCAGTTCCTCTGTTCAGTTCTTCTCCATGTGGAGCCATGATGCAGACATAGATACAGCTCAAAGGTCCACAGCTGAGAAGGTTCTGCTGTTCACAGCTCATTCTAGTGGTGTTGAACTTTGTTTTTTACTTTTGGGCATTTATTTTCAACTTTGACTTCCTGACATACTTGTTTCTGATTGATGAAGAGACAAACCAACTCAGAAACAACTTTTACTGAAGAGGAACTTTCACTCTTTATGATATACGATGAACAATAGAAATCAGATCGTAGCAACTGGACCTACTTGAATTTACTTCTATCCTTAAGGAGCCAAAGGTGTCTGGAGCTCCAACTAGTCAGTCAGAGCTGATGAAGCCTCTTGGATGAGAGATGGAACGCCTTCAAGGAACTCAAGCAAGTCCAGCTGCTACGATTAAACTACCAGAAGAACCACGAGCTGGTTGACTGAGAGTCTTCACAGACAACAAAAGTCAGATCTGATCCACTCAGACGTATCAGCACACGGACCAGAGACAACGAGATGCTACCTGATCGGGTTGGACTCATTAGAATTTGAACCAGATCCAAGCATCTGGTTCCTGGTTGGTTTTCAGAGGAAGACAAAGCAGGTGTGAGTCAGTCAGCGTCTTTCCACTCGCTCTTCCATCCGCCTCAGTCTGAAGCATCCATGATCTATGTCTTTCTTATTTACTGTCTTTTATTTTCACAGCTGAGAGGAAAGACGGAGGGAATCCCTTTTCCTCTTTCTGGTCTGCCTCAGCTACGCCTGTAGGGACAAAAAACTAAGACTTTCTCTCTCCTGGTTTGTCTCCGTCTGCTTCTTCATTTGTTTTGAGGAAGAGGAGAGATCTGGGTTTGTAATCACTGGAAGTCTCCACGGTGGTCAGCCGTGATTCCTCCTGCTGTCAGCACCACTTAGACCAAGTCCTAAACATGCTGAACACGCAAACTCAGACTTTGCATGCACAAAACCCAACTGGTGTAGAAACAATCGACAACATGCTGCACTTTCTACATTACAATATTCAATTATCTCTCTTCTGTTTTTCACATTTCAATCACACATATGGGTTTGTCTGAAAATTACTTTACACAACAAGATTTCTGCTTCAGAGTGTGCATCAGTTTTGGGGTGGGTTTGTTTTTTTTTGCTCCTGTCTGATTTTTTCAGTTTCATTTTTCATATAAAGTCCTGCACCTCTATGGAAACAGAACAACCATGAAGAAGTAGAGAGAAAACTAAAATGTCTTCTCTGCAGCATGACATTTATCTAAAAAGTCGAAATCCTAGGATTTATTTTCACAAAAACCCCTCGACAAACCAGACAACGTCCCTGCACTGTAGGAAGATGTTTCACCATGCTGAATGTGTCTTCCAACAACATTACACTTCTTGAGCTGCATTTATTTTATCGACCCATTTATTTTCCTTTCAGTCTTTATTGTCGTCTTGTTAAAACACTGCCTGCACTTCATCCGAAAACTCTGAATTTTGGTCGTAGCTGAATCCCTAATGTCTGTTTGTTTCATTTTTTAAAAACGAATTGGATGCAAATGGTTTATTTTTGGAGAATTTTAAAATGAGACACGTAGAATAAAGTGATTCTGATAAAAAATATCACAATTATAAACTTGGATTTGGCTGTTTTGGGTTTTTTTTTTTACACTGGAAAGCTGGAAATCCAATGATTCTTCCTGTTTTCACATGTTCTGGCTCTGATAAATGGTGTAACTTTGACTATTTTTGTTAAGATGACATGTCTTTTAAATGTGCTGGTAAGTTTTGGGAATTGTTAGATCAAAAAATATATGCAGATAAACAGATAAATCTTCAGAATTTACTCCGATTATGACACAAAAAACATCCAGTCAGTTGCAATTCTCAACTGCAGTTCAGGAAACCCTTAACTGATAATTCCACAACCTGACAAACCAAAACTCACAACTGATTTATAAAGCATTAATAAACAATTTATTAACTATTAATAAAGCATTTATGAACACTGCTCTATTAGAAATTAGTGAAGCTGTTTTCAGCCACTGGAGCGGCATGTTTCTTGGGAGTTTTTATAAACATTCATGGTCCTAATAAGATGAACGCTTCCTACTTTGTGATCATCTGGTTCATTTCTCATCTCGTACCATTTGAGCTCGACTTGTTTTGTTTTTGTCAGATGTCTGGGCAAATATCTGAAGGACTGTACATGAAATTTGGATTCATAGTTCCCTGAGGATGAACCCTAATGAACCAATTTGTCCAATCTCTTTTCTTTTACCCACAAAACTACAGAACACCCCACAAAGCTTTGAGCTTAGTGCCAATTAGCATGTGTTAGCATTCTAATATGCTAAGCTAAGGTATACATGCTCTACATTATCCGTAGCATTTAGTCCGCTCTAACTCTGTCAGCTCTTCTGAAACATCTCCGCCAGACGATCGTCTCCGTTGAGCCCGCCGAGTCGAACGTTTCCGCAGGCTTTATTTGTCCACATGCTGCAGACATCAGGCCGGTGATTTAAGGCACCGACAGGTCCAACGAAACCAGCGCGAGGAGATGCTGCCAGCAGATGTACGATACGACACCGGAGGGTCCCACTGCAGCGGACTGGGATTCAGCTGGACTACTGGGTGGAAGTTGGTTACAATCTAAAGCTGTGATGGATCGTAATGTTTTGACGGCAAGAGCAGTTTGACTTTAAGTGCTGAAATAAAGCCGCAATCTGTGATTCAGATCTGAAAATGAAAATATAACGCAGCTTGAACCTGCAGTGGTTTCTAAATGTATGTTCTTGTGAGGACAAAACGATTGATCAATGAGTATTGATGATAATTTTAGGTGCATTTTCGACCTCATAGCAAGATAAATTGTGATTTTATGTTGTTTAGTTACTTTCAGTCATGATTTTGCACAAAAAAGCAGAAAGAATAAAGCTCAACATATTATTATTAATGAACCCACTGAGCTCCAAGCAGCAGTTTCTGGTATTTTCTGCTCCTGACTCATTTTTTACTCTCTGTGGGCTCATTTTTTTCCTGCAATATAAAGTCCTGCTGTTGTATTTCATTGATTATTTAATTTACAAGTGCTGTAGGTGTTACCAATACTAGAAAAAAAAGTGACTCTACATTGTATAGAAGTTGTACGATTTCAACTTTTTCTCTCTACTCTGCTCATCAGCTGTGGGCAGATGTTTCAGCATGCTGACAACCTGCTCCTCTGGTCACCATTTTTCAGCCATGCTGCATTTATTTTATTGATCAAATGTGTTTTATTTACATGCAAATCTCTAAAAATTAGTTCACACATCGTCTCCTCCTTGCTCTGTTGTTGCACAGAGGACCACAGAATTTTATTTTTGTAGAATCTTTTAAGTCTAAATGGTTTATTTATTGGTATTTTTTAATGAAATATGTCAAATAAAGTGATTTTAATGGAATTTTACAATTTTAAGTTGGATTCTGATACGTTTTGGCCCATTATCCAGGATTGCGTCAAGAATTTGATTTAAAATCCACTGATTCTTTGTGTTTTTACAGTTTCTGGCTCTGATAAATGCTGCAATTTTGGTGTTTTTTCCTTCTTCATAGCTAGCCTGCCTTCAGCTTTACGGGTTCAGTATTGAAATGAGTTGCAGAGTTTCAGATTTCCTCTTAAAAGTCATCTGAGGATTCGATCAATACATTAAACCCTGTGAATCCTCCTGGACTACTTTGTTGACTTACCCCGTTAGCTTCAGATTCAGGTCAGCGGAGGAATTTAAACGGAGCAGAAACCTTTTACATCCAACACAAACCGCCGCTGTCGGGTTCTCAAGTTCTCCCGCTGAGCTGGCAGCTGATTCAGATCAACACCTGAACACCTGAACACCTGTCCCTCATTCAAACCAATCAGGCCCTGCCTTTATAAGCACCTGCTCTGGAGCCACACTCACACACCAGACTGTGTTTGTGTCTCACAGTTTGTACACTTTGCTGCACTTAAACTTGTCATTTTAGTGTTTCAATGAAGCCAATCGCATTTATTTTGCTCTTCTATGTGTGTCTCTGTCGGTCATAATCACAACACACTGGTTAGTGACAAAAACTCCCACACAACCAGATGAATGAATTGTATTTATAA